GTCTTCTTCAATATAGATCCCTTGTCCTTCGGAACTAAAGAACATTCGCTCCTGGACAGGACCGTAGTTGTCGGTGAAGTCGCTATCCGTCCCGACGAAGGGCATCATGTTCGTGCTCACCTTCTCAAGCGGCCAGAGTTGTTCTCGGAGTTCAGATCCCCCGTACCAGTGGCCCTTTCCAAGGTCCAAGCAATCAGTCAGGACCTCCGTGACACAGGTAGTAGCTTTCCAAGACACGTCGACACAGTCGGAGTCCCGATACTGGTAGTTTCTGATTCTCAGGTCTGCAGCTTTAGAAACCCCAATACTGAGAGAGATTCCATCGACACGACTTTGTAGGTCTAGGGATTCTGGCAGATCAATTCCAAGTTGGGCTGAAAGGGGATTGCGGCCATGCATATTCTCCACTTTTATTTCCATGGGGCGAGAGGCAACATTTACGGTTACGGGTCCAACTTTGTATTCTGAGCGGGTTGGGATACCACTATTTCTAAAACCAGGGGCAGCATTTTCCAATTCGTGTGTTAATTCCCTTGATATATCTGTTTGCTGATTTGACTGTCTGCTTTTAACGGCGAGAACAGGTGACAACATGAAAACTAGAAGTAGAGCGCACGTGACACCGGGTGTCCATTGGGGATGCATTCTACGATGCATTTACTATGCAGCTTTCTGAAATTAAAAGTGGAAAATATCAGCTATTCGGACTTTTGACAACGAAAATCTCTAAGTCTCAAAGTGTAGGGCTGTGGGGTAGCCTGGTGGTGAAAGAGTTCGTTAGTCACTCCGAAGACCTGGCTTCCATTCCCCACATGGGTACAGTGTTTGAAGCCCATTTCTATAGCCCGTTTGGCTCAAAAGCATTTCTATAGTCCGTTTGGCTCAAAAGCGGACCGATGAATTGCAATCTAACTCGAAAACTAATAAACATATAATGTTCAATGAAACACTGATCATAATGAAAACGTCAGACCAACTCTGAGAGGTGTTTGCAGAATTTATGTCCTAAAAATAAAACAGTTGTTTAACAAACTATCATTAACATATCGACACAGTTCACTATTTGTTACGAGGGAGGAGTGCAGAGAAAGGGACAGCCGGGTGTACCAGAAAGGTTGGAGACGGCACAGCACAGGTTAATGAATCAATAACTTTGTCGGCACTTGTGCACGTGCTTCTCTCACACCTGGCTGTCCCTTTCTCTGCACTCCTCCCTCGTAACAAATAGTGAACTGTGTCAATATTTTAATGATAGTTTGTTAAACAACTTTTTTAATTTTAGGACATAAATTCTGCAAACAAATCACAGAGTTGGTCTGATGTTTTGATTATGATCAGCGTTTCATTGAGTATTATATGTTTATTAGTTTTTGAGTTAGATTGCAATTCATCGGTCCGCATTTGAGCCAAACGCACTAATGTACCCCGCCGTGATGTCGCTGGAATATTGCTTAAAGCGGAAAACCCAAACTCACTCACTCACTAAATGGCAACCATCATGTTTTTTATGAAAAGGTAAATAATTTAAAATACACTTTTATTCATACGCTGCGTCGTGGTGATTATGTTTTATTTTGGGGAGGCACAGTGGTTACAGTGCTAACTTGCACTGGCGTAGATCCGAGTTCCATTCCAGTATGATCCATAAACAAGTCCGAAATGTTTAAACAGTATATTTAACTATTACTGATTCCAAATGATCTAAATTTTTCAGAAACATGTAGGTTTAATGGGAAGCGACTGTTTGTAAAACATATACTATATATATTAAAGTTCTTAGGTTCCCAGCCTGCTTGTGAGAGAGAGGAGTGAAGAGAGAGAGAGAGAGGGGGAGAGAGAGAGAGAGAGAGAGAGAGAGAGAGAGAGAGAGAGAGAGAGAGAGGAGAGAGAGAGAGAGAGAGAGAGAGAGAGAGAGAGAGAGAGAGAGAGAGAGAGAGAGAGAGAGAGAGAGATTAACCACACAGTGAATAGAAGGTCAACACTGCTTCCCATACGTCATATAGGACAACACTGATTACCCAGTAGTAATACAGGTCATTTCTATCTTATTCAAGGCCGTTAAACATTCCGAAAAGATTACATGATAGATTAAAACAACTGACTTTATTTATTCACGTGCTGAAAGTATGATATTAAAAAATTATGACATCCCTATTTAGATAAAACCCCAGTATATTGAAGCAAAGCAGTCTTACTGTCTATGTTGTTATTAAAAGAAAAGTGCATTTAAAATAATGCTAGACTGTTTCAAGCAGTGTTAAACCATATTAGTGCGTGAATGAGTATAGTTGCCGCACTCAGCAATATTCCAGCTACATGGCGGTGGTGTGTAAATAATCGAGTCTGGACCAGACAATCTAGTGATCAACAGCATGAGTATCGATCTACGCAATTGGGAACCGATGACATGTGTCAACCAAGTCAGAGAGCCTGACCAACGGATCCCGTTAGTCGCCTCTTTCGACAAGCATGGGTTGCTGAAGATTAATTCTAACCCGGATCACGGGTCACATTTTGATTAAAACTAAGTATTCACTCAAGGTCTAAAACACCAAAGAGATTGATCGTTCTCTGACATTGACGCCTTTTGAATTTAGGGACCAAACATTTCCTCGGGGATTTTGTTTCTTGAAATAAATTTTCACAGAAAATAAAATAACTTTTGTTTCGCTGCTCATGTTTGACGTTCTAAGAATGTATGTGTTATAAACTAATGCCGCTAATAAAGTGAGCCTGTGAGCTGAAATTCACGTAGCAATATTTCAGCAACATCACGGCGGGACAAAAGCAATATGGGGACTCAAACCAGTTTTTTTTAACCCTCGCTGACACTTTAACAGCTGCTTGACAGTTGATCAACAGCATGAGCATCGATCTGAGCAACTGGGATACGATGATATTTGTCAACCAAGTAAGCGAGCCTGGATGCACGCCACACAAAAAATAAAAAAATATAAAAAAAAATGTAGAAAAGAACAGCACTGTACCTGATAAGGTTTAGAGGAAGTCTTTTGGTCCAGTCGGTGTCAACGAACTGGAACCTTTGTTCTAGTTTCGAGGTGTTATAGTTGGATGATAACAGAGTAATGTTTCTTATCCAATGGCAGCTCGTCTATTTTGCGACACTGCGATAATGTTAAGTCGGCTACATGGTATGTCAGTGTAAATTGCAGTCATATTATTCATGGACAATACACGTGATTTTATATTTAGTTTAAATAGTAGCGTTTGGAAGTACACGGGACCTCGTAATATTTACAGCCTCTCCACATCATGTCCATATTGCGAAAGCATATATTGCGATATGTATTGCAATATATTGCAAGAAGTATTTTTAAACATAAAACTACTTACAATCGAGTTAATGCTTGATTTATAAAGCAAAAACATAACAAAATAACAATGCTTGATTAAGCTTTAACAACAACCTTTAATCATGACAAAATAGAATGTAAATAATATTTGGCACAAATGAAACACGGAAATATCCGAAGATTTCCGAGTGTTACGAAGTTTTCCGAATGCAAGTCAAAATACCGGTTTTTGACCAGCTTATCGCAATACGTATTGTTTTCATGTTTGAACCGGTAAATACCGGTAAACCGGTTATATTGCGCAGCCCTATTTACCTCTGTTCGAATCGAAAGTTGGGGGTAATATGTGAGCCCACTTCAGGTGTTCCCGCCATGGCAGTGCTGGAGTATTACTACCAAGTGCGTAAAACCAAACTCACTCACTAACTCAATGTAAACAGACACATTTACTCCATATATACGTCCCTTGAATCTGAGAATGAATTTGGCCATAACATGTTGGATTAATGTAGCGTCATGAACACTGCTTAGTGGTGGATACGACGCGAAAAATGTTTTAGTAATGATAATGGTAGTAGTAGTAGTGGCTGTAGTAGTAGTAGTAGTAGTAGTAGTGGTGGTGGTAGTAGTAGTAGTAGTAGTAGTAGAGGTGGTGGTAGTAGTAGTGGTGGTGGTAGTAGTAGTAGTAGTAGTAGTGAAAGTAGTAGTGGTGGTAGATGTGGTGGTGGTAGTAGTAGTAGTAGCATGAGTAGGAGTAGAATTAGTAGTAACAGCAGTATTAGTAGTGGTGGTGTGGTGGTGGTAGTGGTAGTAGTAGTAGTGAGTGAGTGAGTTTAGTTTTATAGTGCTCAGCCCACTATATGGCGGCGGTCTGTAAATAATCGAGTCTGGACCAGACAATCCAGTCATCAACAGCATGAGCATCGATCTGCGCAATTGGGAACCGATGACATGTGTCAACCAAGTCAGCGAGCCTGACCACCCGATCCCATTAGTCGCCTCTTGCGACAAGCATGGGTTACAGAAGACCAATAGTATAACCCGAACCGAATAGTAGTTGTAATAACCCGTAGTAGTAGTGGTTAGTAGTAGTGGTAGTGGTAGTAGTAGTAGAAAGTAGTAGTAGTAGTGGTAGTAGTAGTAGTAGTGGTAGTAGTGGTAGTAGTAGTAGTAGTAGTTAGTAGTAGTAGTAGTGGTAGTAGTAGTAGTAGTAGTAGTAGTAGTAGTAGTAGTAGTATTAGTGCCACTGCAGTAAAAGTGAAATAGTGAAACCAACTTACTTTGTCAGTTGTCAACATTATACGATCATCATGAGGTGAGGTGAAATTGGGTTTAACGTCGTGCTTGAGAATATTTCGCTCATATGACGAACGATCATCATGATGACAGGAGACAATAACATCAATGGAGGAGGAGAAAGAGGATCAGTGATGCATGCCTTAATACTTCGTCATAATAACACAAACAAAACCATTAACAGTCATCAACAAAACCGGACCTGAATGATATTGCCATTTCAGTCATCACGTGGCAGGCACGGGCCTAACGCAGTGCCCGGATGCAATGGGATGGCCCTTATGTCAGTGTCACACTAGTCAAGGTATGACGGCTTTATCCGACACGGAACACTTACTCCAGCGCAAAGTGACACGGATGTCCCCGTATACAGTGATGAAACACAACATATCTACATATAAAGTTAACGCACATCCGTATCTACATATGACGATGACGCACGTAAGACAACTCAGGGAGTTGTTGTCGATGTTGTAGCTGACTGAAACATGTTTGGAGTCCGACCCCTGTCAAAATGAGGTGAGATTTATTCCCGCTTGTGTCAATTCTTGAAATGGTACATTTTTCCAGAATAGTCAAGTGTGTCCGAAAATATACATCTGCATGCAGTGTGCGAAATAGCCACTGGTCCGCTAGACCGTGGCTAGTAAAAATCCTATCGGGCCAGTAAATCTCCACAGGCACTGGCCCGACTGGATAGAGAATTTTCACGGGGTCATTTGGTTTTATGGTATTTTACCTATTCGTAATCATTTTGCTTACTTTCTACATTCAAATTTCGCGGTAGTGAATTATTTTGTGGTCTAGTAACTTTCAGGCATAGCTTGCCTGACTGACTAGCAAAATTTGGAAAATATTTCGCACACAGGCTGCATGTATTACCAAAAGTAAGATCTAAGTTTTCACTTCATTAAACATTCGCCAATCGTACACCTCCACACAGTATTATGTAATGACGACATTCTGTACACGTTATCTTTTTTGTGAAAAGATGTTCAGTTTATAAAATCAAGAAGAAAATAAACACGCCCCATTTTCAACGTGTTCTCAAACTTTCCGGTCGCCTGTCATACAGATCTCAAGGCTAGCATGTAGGTAACACATGTAAATGTGGACTGTTCTGGAAAGGATTCTGTGTCTTGTAGTTCCACGCCATGCCCTGATAAACCTCCAACCCAATGTAACATACGAGTGAACCATCTGCTGGCGTATTGATATGCCTCACGAGGTGTATTTACGTCACAAACAATTGTCTCGTCGGTGTATATTTGATGAACCTGTTTCAGCCGTCTGTGCTGAAGGAATATGACGCAGTACTGGACCACATGGCATGCTGGTCACATCTGGTTTAAACATACACAAAGAACTTAGTTAAGCACCACCTGACACATCTCACGATTGAATAAGCCCCGATCTTAACCCTTTGGAGCATATCTGAGACATGATTGGTCGTCGTGTGCAACAAAGGGATCTTCCTGTACAGAACCTGGCCCAGTTGGAAGCTGCTTTACACGAGGAATGGCGTAGACTGACCCTTCAGGAGACCAGGAGGCTGACAGGGGGTATGAGGAGGAGAGTGCTGGCTGTCATACAGTCACATGGAGGTTACACTCGGTATTGACTTTGAATCGTGTAAGTCACGCAAAAATGACATTTTGAGGTTCACATTCACCAATAAATTCAACATTAAACATTTCAGTGCCATACTTGTACAGACATGGTTTTGTATGAAAATCAGTGTTGTTTTTTTAAATGACCAATTATCATTATACAATCAACATGGATTCCAAATATTTTGTCGTTCATACGGGTCAGAAAAAAACTGTTTCTCCATTGCGGTCACCACGAGAAGTTTTATGTACTTGTTGAAAACCTATCATTGCAAAAATACCGGAGGTGCTTAATTAAGTTATTTGTGTATATTTTATTCAGAAAAGGATTGGCAAACTAGCCTAAATGGCTTATATTAATGCCGCTCCATAATACATGTGTAGGTTTACATATATACATGATGTTGTACGTAGTAAATATAACAAGCCGTGAAAATAAGAACATGTAATAATGAATTGGTGGACTGACTGTACAATATCCATATTCGTCTGATATACTGAGTTAATACCCCCCACACCATCACACTATCGCCGCCAAACGTCTCAACTTCCTCAACGCAACAACGTGCTGTGCGTTCGTTCCGACGTCTGTAGACTCGTACCCGACCATCAGCTTTGTTCAGCTGGAAGCGGCTCTCGTCACTGAAGAGTACCCGGCGCCAGTTCCGCGGCTGCCACTGCCGAACTCTACGTGCCCAAGCCAATCGACGACGTCGATGTTCACGCGATTAACGTCACGCCCCGGAATGGTCTGTAGGCTCTGATACCGAATCGGCGGAGTCGTCTGGATATGGTCCTTCTACTGACTGGATGGGTAAGGCTGGTTGTTGCTGATGACGTACAGTCAGGAATCTGTTGCGCAAGTGAAGCACCCGTAAAGTGGCAGTCTTCCTGAGGGGGTGGTTACGAATTTGGTCTCTCCCTGTCCTAGGCCTGTCTGCAGTCCGACCTGTTGTTCTGAAGCGTGTCATCAGTCTGGTGATGGTTTTCTTGCTGCAACCCATGATTCGACTGTGAGACGTGGGGATGCGTTCAGGAGATGTGTTCCTAAATAAATTTCCGTCATAACGAAAACAGAAGAAATGTTTTTACAATTTTACTTTGGGGACGTTTCTTTTTGCCCTCAGTTTACCATTTAGCACATCCCGCAGTGAGAAACCTTTCGCATAAAAATATGATCACATCTGTAGAGGGTTCTTCTTATTAAATTAACCATGTCCTCTTGGTAATGAGTGAGTGAGTGAGTTGGGTTTTACGCCGCTTTTAGCAATATTCCTGCAATAATCATGGCGGGGGACACCAGAAATGGGCTTCACACATTGTACCCATGTGGGGAATCGAACCCAGGTCTTCGGCGTGACGAGCGAACGCTTTAACCCCTAGGCTACCCCACCGCCCCTTTTGGTAATGAGATCAGTTGAATAATATGATATTTTGCCTGAATACTTGCAACGGATATCGCATGAAGGCATTATGCATTCCCACTTGATTATGTCAGCAAGGACACTTTTTGATATTTCTATTTACAAAATGTTTTTACTTGGTTTACATAATGTGCGTCGAGCGTTGACTACGAGATCTGTTCTTGACCAATCAGAGGGTTAAACTGTGTCACGTGACAAAAAATGTGTTACACGTGGAGAACAAATAGACTTTGGGACAAACATGTACGTATGTATGTAACAAAATTTATATAAGCAATCATCACAATGCAGGTGTAGTGAACGTCAATTAATCAGATTTGCAGACTTCACGATGAGGTACGGTTGGTGTATTTTTCAGTTGTTAAGGAGATAATGTTTCCTTTATATTCAATATTTGTTGTTTAAACATGAAATAAATAGACTTTATGTTCAAAATCATGTTGGAACATAATGTGGCGCTATAGGTAGGTATTCCTACCCTTTTGGTGAACATTGACTAGCCTTTGCATGCGTTTGTGACGGGCACCATCGCTTATATTAAATATTTAAATTGTCATGATTTATCGCTATTTTGCTTTTTACACTCAATGGAATCTGTACTGTGGGTAATCGAGACTGGATGTACTGTTGTAAGGTTGGGTCCAGAATTCGAACCCACGCTCTCAGAGACAGGCACCTAATCGCCAGCTCACGAAGTCAGCCATCTAACCCACTCAGCCACCCGTGAAACATGTGTTACATTTAGGATTACATTTTCTCAGTAAGGTGCAGATTTTAGTACTCTTTTCGGGTTGAGTCACATCCGGGATTCGAACCCCACTTAAAGAGTCAGCCACCTAATCGCCAGCAAATAATGATGCTACTTGTGTTAAAATGTAACTGATGTCGCTGTATTTTTGTTTCAGTGTTGTATTTGCAGTATTCCTGCTTCCCGTGGCTGCTGCCACCAACTTTCCCTACACTATTCCCGACCGATGGAACGGGGGTGTCTCCACCAATATATGCACCACCCCGGACGTGAAGCTGTGTGGCTGGGAGATGAAGTTGGTCTTCTCCGTCAATGTACAGAGCATCGCCGTGAGTACACCGTTTAGCGACACGTTTTCAATGAAACGGGGTTTTAAAGACCCCTTTTAGCCATCCCAAGAATTTATGACAGACAGGGAGATGTACTGGATATAAAACATCGCTTGTTAATATGACGTTAACCCTTGCTATCCCATGCTATGACATATGACTTCCCTGCTAACTGGTGCTTCCGGAAGAGCAGGGCATGTTTGCCTTTTTCGCAAATGCAAACACCTGGTGTCATCACTGATTTTCAGGGACCCATTCAAAGAATTCTCATAAATAATTTATGTAATCTTTTTCTGTAGATATTAGAGATTGGCGGTTCTCTGAAATTGACCTCGTTGGAATTTAGGGACCAAACATTTACTCAGGGATTTTGTTTCTTGAAATAAATTATTTTCCAAAATCAACAGCATATGTTTCTCTGCTCATGTTTTACGTTCCTAGAACTTGTGTTATAAATTATGCCGATGCATAAAGTGAGTTTGTGAACTGAAATTCACGTAGCAATATTTCAACAACATCATGGCGGAGGAAAACTATATGGGGACTCAAACCAGTTTTATTAACCCTTGCTGGCGCTTACAGGCGCTTAGTTAGTTAGTTAGTTTGTTAGTGAGTTAAAGTGTTCGCTCGTCTCGTCGAACTCCCGGATCCTATCCATGCATAGGTACATAATATGATATCCATTTCTGCTGTTCAGTCTCCTTATACTGCTGTAATATTGCTAAAAATGGCAAGATATGCTCACATATTTCGCGGACATCTGGTCACTACGTTATTTAAGTTCCTGTCTATAACTTTACTGTTCTTTTGCCCTTTACGTCAAATGGAATCTGTCTGAAGATTGACGTTACATCTTAAACCATCCTCACTCATTCACTCACTGCTATAAAAAACACACACCGAAAAACACGAATACGAAAATAGAAAAACAAAGACCAATGCAAGACAAAGCAAAGAAATATCCTCAGAAAAAAACGAGCATTAAAAAAACTACTACCAAAAGAAACAAACACCCCGGCTCTGTTACCCATCACCGGTTTCATTGCATATATGTCTGTCTCAACAGCCTCATGACTTCCTACTGACAAACCCACAGTCGAACAGTCGTGTGTACTACATCAAGAACCAGTCGTCTAACGGTGACAGATCGGCCGGACAGGAGTTGTGTATCGGCTTTAACGCTGATATCTCTGGGACGTCTCCTGTTGTAATATCAAGACTAGTCTTCACGAAGACATCTTCTGATGGACAACCTTGCCCAGGTAATACCAGATTAAGATGCAGTGGTGTCATGTACATGTTTGTAACCCGTGAAGATCCGGGTTAGAATGAACCTTCAGTAACCCATGCTTGTCGTAAGAGACGACTAACGGGATCGGGTGGTCAGGCTCGCTGACTTGGTTGACACATTTTATCGGTTCCCAATTGTTCAGATCGATTATCATGCTGTTGATTACTGGATTGTCTGGTCCAGACTCGAATATTTAAAGACCACCGCCATGTAGCTTCGTTTATAACCAGCGTCACATTGCGCAGGCTGTAATTAAACATAAATGTATTCCCACAATGTAGATTGGACAAGCTGCAGGGCAAAATACAATATAGACTTGAAAACATACTACTCATCAAATGTTTAGACTCACTTAAAACAATCACTATATGTTATGCATATATGCCTGGTTACATCGAAGATGAATTTCTCCACTAACTTGGGGGAACCAACTGCAAACCTTATGCAGATGAATTGCACGAGGATCGTGCATCAAATTGGTGAAAAGCATGTGCAAATATCGTGTTTGTGAACAGCTGCGTTTTGGCGAGTGAGTGAGTTAAGAATTCACCAATTTTCACTGAGTTTCATTATTTATTGAACTCATGACAAATAATCTTTTCAACGTTACGAACTTGTTTTACAATACATCAGTTCATGTGTAAACAGTACCCTTAAACTGTATAGAATATTTTGCAAAATCTAGTTTAGATAAGTTGACTGAAGTAAGTGGCTACATTTACACTAGTGAGTCTAAACGTTTGATGGGCAGTATATACAAAGATTTTATTTGATAAAAATGACAAACGTTTATCAAAACGTCCTAGGCTTGAAACAGCTGCAGAAAGTCTGCAACCATAAGGTCCGTATCAAAATCATTACCTTCGTATTTTCTTTATTGATTCTGTACTTTTTAGTCACCATGAGTGTAATTACCTTTTTGCCCGACTGTGAACTCTCTATTACATATGGAATACTGTAAGGGACATTCTCGCGATCTCGACCTTTGGAAACAAGCTAAAAATGCCAAAAGTGCGAGAATTCGAGATCGCGAGAACGCGAGATTTTGGCCAAATAGGATATTCGTAAAGAGCGTTTCAAGGGACATAACTCTATGGGGTTCGTTTGAAATAAATTTCGGTCGGTAGAGAGCGCGAGAGTCGATTTAATTCATTTGAACTTTTTAATTTCATATTGTAATGTTAATACGTAATCTTTTTCGGAATAATTTATATGGTAGGTTCGCTGGGGGCTGATAGTATTAATGAGAGGAATGCAATATTGATTTTAGAGAAGTGTGGCGTGATAGTGTGCCTTTAACAAAACACTGTTCACAGCTGTGTTCATTGAATGACTCGTTCTGTCATTCCAGCAACCGTATCAGGCGCCTACGCTGACGTCCTTGGCAAATCCATCCTGTTCTATGAGGCCCAGAGATCGGGACACCTTCCTTCAACCAACAGAATACCGTGGAGAGCTGACTCCGCCCTCAATGACGGCAGCGACAACAACAGAGACCTCACCGGAGGCTGGTATGATGGTCAGTACATGTATATGACATGGTCATACTCAGTAGACGCTTGCAACATGATACACCTTCTAATGGTCATTTTATTATTTTTTCATTTATGATTTCGACTATATTTTTAGAAATCGTTTAGACATCCCACATATCAACTGTTTTAGTTGCCCAATTCGTGTGGGTTATGGGTTCGAATCCCTTATTATGGTATGTGGGCACCACATCCGGACTCTTGGCTTTCGCCAAAGCCCACGACCGTATCACTTGTAGCGTTCCTCCACATACAACCGCCACACTGTGTTCTAACTGACATAGTGTTCAAAGTGTCCTTAAGACTCGCTCAATCCCTCCCTCCCTCACTCTCTCACTCATGTGTTGTTCAGCTGGCGACAATGTCAAGTTCAACTTCCCCATGGCGTGGTCCACAACGACCCTGGCCTGGGGGTTGATCCAGTTCAGGGCAGGGTACCAGGCAGCTGGCGAGCTGACCAACGTGTACGACTCCCTGAGGTGGCCACTGGACTATCTGCTCAAGTGCTGGGACAGTGACCACAACGAATACTGGGCTCAGGTCAGCTCCATGTTATTTCAAAAGAAATGAATATGTTTTTTAATTATCAGTAGGATAAAATATACACTAACTAAACGCGTACATTGAATAAGCAAAGCCTCGTTCATGACACAAACTCCACCCAATGCTGTATGGAGAGGTAGGGCTTAAACTTTCCAAATGTCAACTTTCCCCAGTCAAGCAATATTTCAGACCAATAGGCTGTGGTCACCAATTCACAACCTTTGAGGTACAGTCGAGCATATTCCTTCCAGCACAATGACATAAGGCACCATAGGACTGTGGCTCCAATTTGTTTGACCAAGGCTACAACACTCAAGACCACAATGTTTTTATAGTAAATTTAGATATGTGGGGGGCATTTCCAAATTTTAAGTATCGGTGACAAAAATGTCCAATCGCGCCATAAGTCCTGGTGAAAATTGACTTGCCTTTGCATGTGTTTGTGAAGGGCACCATCGCTTATATTAAATATTTAAATTGTGATGGTGCATAAACAAAAGACTCACGAAATAATACAATTGCCTCTGTCCTTCGAGAGATTTCCGATTAATACTGACAAGGCTTTGACGCTTTTATGAATATATGCGAGTTGTCAAATGTGTGATCCCAGATATAACATTATGTTAAATACGAATCATAGTTCATGTTGAAGTGAATAATCTTATTATAACCATGTAGAACTGGATTAAAATATCCGACCACGGACGTCTTTCACAGGTCGGGGACGGTTATGCAGATCACTCTCAATGGACAAGACCTGAGGACATGACCGCAGCACGACCTTCCTACAAGGTCACCATTGGCAGTCCCGGAAGTGACGTAACCGGCGAGACTGCGGCTGCATTTGCCGCGGCTTCAATAGCTTTCAGAAGTGAAGGTATCAGAAAACTATTCCATAAAGACACAGTTTATGCAGATTAAATTATAGAGAACGACGTACGGCTTGTCCTGATACAACATAGAGTTATTTTTGTTGTTTTGTTGCTGTTATTTTAGCATTGTTGTTTCTTTTATCTCATTTAATATTTTAATGTTCAGTATTTAATAATTTAGTTAGTTTAATTAGCAGTGTTATATTCAATACTAAATTTGATAACAGTACTGCAGTTTATTATGTAGTCACATGTTTGTATATATCATTATACATTTTAACAATGTATTGCTATTTTATAACTTTTGTTATTATACTATTAGTTTATAAATATTAATCAGTGCACAATTTGTTGATAAGATACAATGCGACTCTTTACCGAAGAAATGCTAACAGTACATTGGCTATGTTGTACAAACAACATTGCTTGACAGATCATATACAGTAATATGAAAATATAGGGTGGTGCGGAACCTCTCTCGAGGGCAGCATCTACGGTATCCACTCTTTGTTTTAGAATAATGTACGAGGTATTTCAAAACACAAAACTATATTATAAAATTTGTGTGTAAATGTTTGCATGGAACGAAAATTTAACGTGTGGGGTGGCATATCTGTGTTAGGGGCAACGCCCTCTGTGTATTTGAAGGGAATATGAACAGTGAGCGGTACACAGATATTCTCGAGGGACATTTACTCCATCTGCTCACGTGTTCTATGGAAAGTTTTGGATTTTCCAGCAAGACAACGACCAAAAACATCGTTCAAAGCATTCACAGGCCTGGTTTCGGACCCAAAATGTGACATTATTAGATTGGCCAAGCTATAACCCTGACCTAAATCCAATAGAAAATGTTTGGGGACTTATGAAGGAAAGTGTCAATAAGAAAAATCTGACAATTATTGCTGAAATGAAAGAAGAGGTGGTCCGATATTGGGACAGCATGGACCACGACTTTCTAACTTCTTTGATCAGTAGTATGCCCCGCCGCATTGAAGCCTGCATTGCTGCCCATGGTGACTTGACAAATAATAACTGTTCACCTGTCTTTGAATCTGGAGTTATGTTCTGCTAATATTCACATTTAATACGTGAGTAATGAGTGTAAAAAAAAAAATTACAATCTTAAATTCTCAATAATTTCTGGTTGTACTTTATCTGGTGTTCCACCGCCGTGATATTGCTGGAATATTGCTAAAAGCCCGTCATGCATATCCCGTGTGGGAAAAGGGTTCATGCAAACATACATATAATTGATCTGTATGTTTAAGTCTCTGTAATGCCACATTATATTTCATGTGTCAGTGCTGGTATGTTCCTATTCCAGCTGTTGATGTACGAGGCCAATCCCTCTGACGCTGGACTGAAGGCCCGGGTCGAGAACTTCGTCAACAGGTATCGGTCTTCTGTAACCAAGACACCCACTTGTGAACTCTCGTGGTATGCCAAGTGGGGCACTCTTCGATACACAGGTGAGTTGGGGTGAGTGAGGTGAGGTTGGTGGTGAGTGGTGGGTGAGTTCAGGAGGGTGAGTTGAAGTTGGTGAGTTGTGGTGGGTGAGGTGAGGTTGGTGAGTTAAGGAGGGTGAGTTGAAGTTGGTGACTTGAGGAGAGCTAGTTGTGGTGGATGAGTTGATGTTGGTGAGTTGATGTTGGTGAGTTGAGGTGGGTGAATTGAGGTTGGTGAGTCGAGGCTGGTGAGTTTAGGTGAGTGAGTTGAGGTTGGTGAGTTGATGTTGGTGGGTTGAGGTTGGTGAGTTGAGGTTGGTGAGTTGAGGTGAGTGAGTTGAGGTTGGTGAGTTAAGGTGAGTCGGTTGAGGTTGGTGAGTTGAGGTTGGTGAGTGGAGGTTGGTGAGTTGAGGTTGGTGAGTGGAGGTTGGTGAATTGAGTTTGGTGAGTTGAGGTGAGTGAATTGAGGTTGGTTAGTTGAGGCTGTGAGTTGAGGTTGGTGAGTTGTGGTGGGTGAGTTGAGGTGGGTGAGTTGAGGGAGGGTGAGTTGAAGTTGGTGGGAGGTTGAAGTTGGTGAGTTGAGGGTGAGAGTGAGGTTGGTGAGTTGAGAGGAGTTGGTGATGAGTTGAGGTTATTGATGTTGGTGAGTTTATGTTGCTAGTTGATGGTGGGAGTTGAGTTGGAGGTTGATGTTGGTGAGTTGAGGCTGGTGAGTTGAGGTGGGTGTGTTGAGGTTGGTGAGTTGATGTTGGTGGGTTGAGTTGGGGTTGGTGAGTTGAGGTTGGTGAGTTGAGGTTGGTGAGTGAGTTGAGGTGAGTGAGTTGAGGTTGGTGAGTTGAGGTGAGTCAGTTGAGGTTGGTGAGTTGAAGTTTAGTGAGTGGAGTTTGGTGAGTTGGGTTTGAGTTGAGCTTTGAGTGAGTTGAGTTGGTGGAGTCGAGGTTGGTGACTTGAGGTTGGTGAGTTTGAGGTTGTGAGTTAAGGTTGAGGTGAGTTGATTTAGAGAAAGGAGGTTGGTGAGTTGTGGTTGGTGAGTTTGATGGTTGGTGAGTTGAGGTTGATGAGTTGAGGTTGGTGAGTTGAGTTTGGTGAGTTCTGGTTGGTGGGTTGAGGTTGGTGAGTTGAGGTTGGTGAATTGAGGTGGTTGAGTTGTGGTTGGGAGGTTGAGTTTGGTGAGTTATGGTGGGTAAGTTGAGGTTGGTGAGGTGAAGTTGGTGAGGAAAAGTGAGTGAGTTGAGGTTGGTGAGTTGAGGCTGTGAGTTGAGGTGATTTGAGGTTGGTGAGTTGAGGTTGGTGAGTTGAGGTGAGTTGGAGTTGAGGTTGTTGATTTGAGGTGAGTGAGTTGAGGTTAGTCAGTTGGGTTGGTGAGTTGAGTTGTAGGTGAGTTGAGGGGTTGTGAGGTGAGGCTGGTTAGTTGAGGTTGGTGAGTGGAGGTGGTGGTGAGGTTGTGAGTTGAGGTTGGTGACTTGAGAGTTGTGAGTTGAGGTTGAGTCAGTTGAGGTTGGCCAGTTGAGGTTGGTGAGTCGAGGCAGTGAGTTTAGTGAGTGAGTTGAGGTTGTGAGTTGATGTTGGTGAGGTGAGTGAGTTGATGTTTGTGAGTTGATGTTTGTGAGTTGATGTGGGTGAGTTGAGGTTGGTGAGTTGAGGTTGGTGAGTCGAGGCTGGTGAGTTTAGGTGAGTGATGTTGGTGAGTTGAGGTTGTGAGTTGATGTTGGTGAGTTGAGGTGAGTGAGAGTGAGGGTTGGTGAGTTGAGGTTGGTGAGTTGATGTTTGTGAGTTGAGGTGGGTGAGTTTTGAGAGTTGGTGAGTTGAGGTTGGTGAGTTGAGTCAGTTGAGGCTGGTGAGTTTAGAGTGAGTGAGTTGAGGTTGTGAGTTGAGGTTGGTGAGTTGGAGGTGAGTGAGTTGAGGTTGGTGAGTTGAGGTGGGAGTTGAGAGTCAGTGAGAGGGTTGGTGAGTTGAGGTTGGTGAGTTGAGGTGAGTGAGTTGAGGTTGGTGGTACGACATTTTAAATAAATGTATACTGGATAAGAATCCAACGCGTGCCATCATTGAACACAGGACCAACTATGTTAACGCTTCCACCGACATTCCTAGTGTGTTCCATTTACGCGGAAGAAGTGGTACCCAGCACGTCACTTTTCTTAATTGAGTGAGTACGGCTGGTGAAACTATGTAGGGGCTTCACACACTACGCGTATGGGAACCGAGCCCCTTAAAACTCGAGATTTTTATTAAGATCTTGGCGAACTCAATGCTCGATCAGTGGAGTGAGTGAGTGAGTGAGTGGAGGTTTAGGCAGTTTTTACTCAATATTCTAGCAAGATCACACAAGAAATAGGCTTCACGCATTGTACCTCTGGGGGATTCGAACCCGGCCTTCGGCGTGACGAGCGACTATTAGGTTACCTCACCGCCTCTCGATTAGTAGAACTGGTTACATTTGTAACTTCCTGTTTGTGTTTGTGTCTATTTCAGCCAACGCGGCTCTAATAGCGATGGTTGCGGCCGATGTCGGCATCGAGGAAACTAAGTACAGGGAGTGGGCGCTGTCACAGATAGACTACATGCTTGGTGCCAATGAGGCCGGCCGCAGCTACGTCGTAGGATATGGCAACAACCCTCCACAGCGACCACATCATCGCGCCAGGTCAGTGATGGTGAGAGTGGGAAAGTGAGTGGCGTGTGAGTGTGTGATTGGGTGAGTGAGTGATTGAGTGTGTGAGCGAGTGAGGGAGTGAGGGGTGAGTGAGTGAGTGAGTGAGCAACCTGAAAGCATCAGTTGGTAATAATGTTTTTTCTCTCTTTTTGACTGCTGTTCTCACAGAACAAGGAATTTCGTTGCAGCCCTCACTGAAAACAGTCTTGGGGTGCATGGCACCCGTGAAGATCCAGATTAGAATTGATCTACATCAACCCATGCTTGTCGTAAGAGGTGACTAACGGGATCGGGTGGTCAGTCGTTCACTTGGTTGACACAGATCATCGTATGCCAATTGCGTAGATCGATGCTCATGGTGTTGATCACTGGATTGTCTGGTCCAGACTCCATTATTTACAGACCACCGCCATATAGCTGGAATATTGCTGAGTGTAGCATTAAACAACAAACAGGGTGCATGATCTTTGTCCGGTGTGTATTTCAGCTCCTGCAGCTCTGATCTCAACCAACCCTGCAACTGGAACGACTATAACAACCCCGGTCCCAACCCAAACGTTCTCACGGGCGCTCTCGTCGGGGGTCCTGATAACGGGGGCAACTACACCGACGCCAGGTCTGACTACATCCGCAACGAGGTCGCCTGTGACTACAATGCTGGGTTTCAGTCGGTGTTAGCGGGTATGGCCTCTATTTTCCTTCGGCAAACATCGGTAATTTCCGTACTTGTGTGATCGGAAAGAGCTTTTCGTTCTCTTGTTTAATCAAAGACAATACGTTGTAAGTAATTCAGCATAAACCCCTACCTTTTTGCTGTAAAAGACTGGGATTAAGATAGGGTACACACTAAACATTAGTACATGTAGCTCTACTGGCTAGCGACCAGTTATCGCCGCTTACCAGTTATCGCCAACACCTGTCTGTCGCGCTTGCTCAGACAGATTGACTTGTACTTCCGTAGTATTTCACTCATTGACACATCACAAAAGCGATAGGCTACGAGAGTTAAAATCAAGCGGTCTGTGCAAGCGCTACAGACAGGTGTTGGCGATAACTGGTACGCTAGCCAGTAGAATATTAGTGTAAACACTTTACCAAACCCATATATCGTTATAATGATATCTGCGCTGGTGAAACTCGTCTAAAAAGAAATATGATTAATCAAATTAATTTATATAGCCAGTCATATTACTTTGAAATTTGTTTGTAAAACGACATTTAGCCAATTATCAAAACATGCACCTTTTGTTCAAGGCTTGGTAGATCTGCAGGCTCGGGGCAAACTGCCGGCGCACACGAACCCGTGTTTTAAATGATGGAAGTCTCTTCGTTTAATCGAAATAAACAGATGAAAACTGAAACATGTGACATTGTATGTTTGTCTGAAGTATTTGTAGTGAGTGAATGAGTTTAGTTTTACGCAGCTTTTCTTAATGAACAAGCAATATCAAGGCGGGGGACACCAGAAATGGGTTTCACACATTGTACCCATGTGGGGAATCGAACCCGGGTCTTCGGCGTAGAGAGTGAACGGTTTAACCACTAGGCTACCCCACCAACCGAAGCATTTGTAAGGCCCATGCCGATGGAATTGTTCCCCAGAAACCTTTGTTGGTTGAAAGACGGAACCGAGTGCCGTTGTACAAACAATGTTGGGGTTAAGGTGATCGTAACTAGCAAACCTTAATGTATAGTTACGACTGCCGTTGCGCTAAACCCGTGAAGATCCGGGTTAGAATCGATCTTCAATAACCCATGCTTGTCGTAAAAGGCGACTAACGGGATCGGGTGGTCAGGACCGCTGACTTGGTTGTCATCGTATCCCTATTGCGTAGATCGATGCTCATGCTGTTGACCACAGGATTGTTTGGTCTAGACTCGATTATTTACAGACCGCTGTCATACGGCTGAAAAACAACAGTAAACAACCAACCAACAAACAATCTAATCCAAGTCCAGAATCACAATGTGCCAAGGAACATTAAGTGTTACCCCTTTTGACACAACAATATATACTAGGCACATACAATCTAAATTTATCAAACCTGTGTAGACACATAAGGATTTAAACTCAGACCTTAGTGACATGTATCCAACATGCATCCACGTGCCACGTTCCGTGACGTCAATGGGTTCGTCCTTGAGACGTGCAATACGTTGTTGCACGTGCATTCCGGGAAAGAGAAACAGAGCAAATGAATGCCACACAATACTGTCACATTGGAAAGCTCAACCCCTGCCCTTGCGATCGTTCAAAAAATTAAACGGCTATTGAAACGCATAGCATGCCAAGGCTCACCTCTGCACAACGTCATGAGGCCATTGGGATGGTCCGTGGGGGAATGTCTTAACGACAAGTGGCTGCACATTTTCACTGCCACCGGAACACCATTTCTGCACTGGTGAGACGCTACCAGAACACAAATGACGTCATCGATCGGCCACGTTCTGGACGTCCACGCGTAACAACGCCAAGACAGGACATATGGATAAGGGTAACCCATCTTCGCCACAGGTTTCAGACTGCAGTGATGACTGCCCGAACCATCCCAGGACTTCGCCGTATCCACCCCAACACAGTTCGACAACGTTTACGTCATCACGAGATCAGACCACGACGTCCCGCCATACGGCCTATCCTGACACAACGTCATCGACAAGCTCGCCGAATGTGGTGCCGAAATCATGTCCGCAGACCCTTGTTTTGGTGGAGAAATGTTGTTTTAAAGATGAGTCCAGGTTTAACATTTTCCATAGTGATGGACGTGAACGTGCCTATAGACGCGTGGGAGAACGTTATGCACAGGCCTGTGTCTTGGAGAGGAATCGCTTTGGTGGTGGTTCCGTGATGATTTGGGGTGGAATAACCGCACGCCACAGAACTCCTTAGGTGATTGTTCAGGGCAACTTAACTGGTGTGGGCTACAGGGATCAGATTCTTCGACCTGTGGCAATTCCTTTTCTGCAACGTCATGGCCCTGGGTTAACATTCCAACAGGACAATGCCCGCCCTCATACGGCAAGGGTTGCTATGGAGTTCTTGCAACACCACAACGTGAGTTTCTGAGACCTAAGTCACTCACTCACTCACTCTGATGTTTGAACAATTAAGTAGCTAGTAGCCACACTCAATGTCATCCATCTTATTTGGGAAAATGGGAAAGCATTAATGGAGAGTCTTGAAGAAAGGGGCACAACTCTTGCAACGTTCAACGATTTGTTCATAAATCTCAATCCTCTTAATGTTTGAAGCGATGTAAAATCGTTATATGGCGCTCTTGTTATGTTCGTGCACGAAAGGGGAGGACGTTTAGACAAATACATCAACAGAACTACAATAACAGCCTTATGACTGATGTACGTATGTATGATTAATAAATACCGTTAGGACACATGTGCGTGTGCGTGTGTGAATGTTAAAGCCCTATTCCTTAACTATCCCCTTTTCCCATTCCATTCACTATAAGTATAACAGAATGTATATGTTGATGAAACACGTCGGCACTTAACACATGCAAACAATACGGCAATAATACCGAAGGAAAATCTCAGTGAATCCAGTCTTGTCAGTGGCATTAGGTCACAGGGTCAAGGTTATGGGATATACTGGAGTATTCCATTACCTACGTAATTCCTTGCAACGTCGAGCGGTCGGATAGCCTGGAAGTTGAAACGTTCGTCGTCACACCAAAGACCGGGTTCGATTCCACATATGGCTTTAATGTGTGAAGCCACATCTTGTGTCTCCTGCAGTGATATTGCTGGAATACTGCCAAAGCGACGTAATACTAAACGAAAACCCACCCACTCACTCGCTATAGAGCCCGAACGGATTTCAGCTAAAGAAGCGGATGTAAAATGCTTTCAAGTCGAGCACGAAACACTCAGTGAAAAGAGGGGTTATCTCCCTTATAATGGCCGTCCGGTCGAATGTTGTCCTCTCGCGTTGCGAAGACTTTTGTCTATCATGGGACGACGTTGTGTGTGCGAGAACCAAGGCTGACAGGGAGAAACTTTATTTTGTATGTGTACCTGCAGCTGCACATCGTTTTTCTGGATCTAAACATAATTATATATTTTTAGAAGAGGTTGCATGGTTTTATGTTGTTCAGTTTTGCAATCATACTATTTACAGTTTGTTTTTAAAGCAATTGCTGGGGGGCTCTTTTGTGGTAGCTTTGCAATAGTATGACAAGCATCCCGACCTACCACGACACTGTTTAATGCCATGTCGCTCGTTTCAGCAATTTGGAAGCCACAGTCCAATGAGTTAAGGGATGTAGCTGTGGTCATTATTATGATAAAATATATTTATGGACATGTCGCAAATATTCACTGATGGAATTTAGGAAAATACTATGTAATGATGTTGTAACTTGTAACCAAAATGTCACTGTAACCGCTCCCTGGTGGTCTTGAATTATTAATTCCTCTTGTAAGTAAGTAACTAGTCTGTTCACGGGGCGTTGGGGTACCCTAGTGGTTAAAGCGTTGGCTCGTCACGCCGAAGACCCGGGTTCGATTCCCCACATAGGCACAATGTGTGAAGCCCATTTCTGGTGTCCCCGGCTGTGATATTGCTGGAATATTGCTAAAAGCGGCTTAAAACTAAACTCAGTCAGTCAGTAGTCTGTTCACTCACTTACTCACTCACTCATAATCTTTAATACACACACACACATCGAAAGTTTGACTTTTCAATTAAATTCATGTATTGAATATACATACAATAAATCGTGATACATATATCACGTAAATTCACTAAATGAGATATACTTACATGGAATCAGCATATCATTTTTTTTTTATATTAATCACACTAAATATACGTATAGGTAATCAGTTTGACGTATCATTCAAATTAATAAAATTCAATGTACATACAAGTATTAAGTTTTAATATTAGTCAAATAAATATAACACCATATATGTAAGTGAGGGATCAGTTTGACATATAAGAGAATAAAACGAAACCAAACTCGAGTAGCCTATGAAAAATAATTGTGTTTTTAAGTTGAAATAAAATTTTCTCTTCCGCTACGAGAACTTTTCTATCGACGCGTGTGACATAACGCTCGCCCATGACTATTGACAAGTTTACGTAGGGAGTTTCATGTCGTTCCTGGCTGTCCCAACAACCTCGGTTGACACTCTGTCCCAAACTCTGTTTTAAATACACAACTGCCTGTTTACTAAATATCATTAAAAATATCATTACAAAACACGGTAACGGAAATGCGCCTCGGATCACGATGCTCCCCGTTACAAGTAGACATATTCCGCATAATGATAGTACTTTATTTGATCCACTGTAAACAGGGTTCTGCTGAATTAGGAGTCTCCCAGCAACCACAATCTATCGGTTCCGAGTAATCATTTCTTTTTGTGATAAAAACACTTGTCTTTCATGTTTCGGTGTGAAAGAAATATATTTCGTTAAGCTCTGCGATTGTAAGGTAACCTTGCATCTGAAAAAAACCCAGTTCAGCAGATCTATGTTTTTACAGGCCCGAACTGCATATGATCTGCATATGATGTTGACGTCTACATATGATGTTAATATCTACTTATGGTGTTGATATCTACATATCATGCTAACATCTACAAATAACGTTCATATAAGGACCTGTGATCATATAATCTACATGTGATGTTGATATCAACCTATGATGTCGATATCTAATTATGATGCTAATATCTACAGATGACGTTAACATCTGTGTATGATGTGATGATCAACATATGATGTTATGTTCTGTATATAATATTATACTGTTCATATGATATGATCCACCTATGATTTTATGATCTACCTATCATGCTAATATCTACGAATGATGTTAACATCTAAATATGATGTTAGGATCTATATATAATGATCAACGTATAATATTATGATCCCTATGATGTTATGATCGTTTTATGATGTTATGATCGTTTTATGATGTTATCATCTACATATATTATGATCCCCCTATGATGTTATGCTCGTTTTATGATGTTATGACCTACTTATGATGTTATGATCTACATATGATGTTATGATCTACTTTTGATGTTATGATCTACTTATGATGTTTAATTATTCCTGTTAGTTCCTCTGTGGCGCCCTGCACTATTGCCATGGGTAAGTTACAAAGTCCTATTTCGTTTCTGCATTCCAAAATGACTTTTTCACTTGCAAACAAAAAGAAACTTCTTCAGAAACTGGACATGGGATATGGTTTGTTTCAAAGAATGGCCCTTAAATATGGAAGCATACAAATGGCGGTGCTGAATTAGCATCCAGGCATATGTATGCGTAACAATAATTTTCAAATACGCTTCATCCTTACTTTTGCTCAGAGTTCCAGATCAAACA